GGCCCAACCCTATTATTAAAACCTCTTCTGTTATGGAGCCCAAGCCACGGCCCATCTTTCTGCCCTTTAATCATAGTCCTGTCCACATTCGGTTTCAGAGCTAGCCCAATGACCTTCTTCAAACCCATACTATTATGGCCCAAGATCAGCCCCGCTGCTTGTCTTTCCTTCTTTGGTAGCCATATCTGTGTTGACCCAATCCCGTCACTCCCATGGTTTTAGAAAGTCATAGAGATGCTAGTGTAATTTATAGATAACAATGGTGAGGACCAATATTATAGGGCGACTAAAATAATGACAATGAAGAAGATGATGAACCTTTGTGTTATAATAACCTTAAATAAAAAGTTAAACAACTTTTGACACTTCTACCAAAAATGTTAATGACACGTAAACATGACATATCTGCAAACCTAAAGGGTTTGTCCACCTATATAATCGAGGCCACACTGGTTAAATTAACCAAAAGGGATCTGAACATGGCACAAGGACCTTAAAAGGAAACTGTGAAGGAGAATTTACAAGTCCTAGAAAGAAATTTAGTGTTTTACAAACCAGCCAAGTAAAGCCCTCAATAGTTTCTCAGAGGACAACCTACCTACCATAGCCCCATTGTTTCTCCAGTAATCAAAAGTGCTGGAAATTGTGTTCATGCATATAATATGATAGTGGTGTTGGTGGTAGATAGTGGCATGTATAGAATATGATAGTGGTGTTGGTGGTAGATAGTGATATGTATAGAATATGATAGTGGTGTTGGTGGTAGATAGTGGCATGTATAGAATATGATAGTGGTGTTGGTGGTAGATAATGGCATGTATAGAATATGATAGTGGTGTTGGTGGTAGATAATGGCATGTATAGAATATGATAGTGGTGTTGGTGGTAGATAATGGCATGTATAGAATATGATAGTGGTGTTGGTGGTAGATAATGGCATGTATAGAATATGATAGTGGTGTTGGTGGTAGATAATGGCATGTATAGAATATGATAGTGGTGTTGGTGGTAGATAATGGCATGTATAGAATATGATAGTGGTGTTGGTGGTAGATAATGGCATGTATAGAATATGATAGTGGTGTTGGTGGTAGATAATGGCATGTATAGAATATGATAGTGGTGTTGGTGGTAGATAATGGCATGTATAGAATATGATAGTGGTGTTGGTGGTAGATAATGGCATGTATAGAATATGATAGTGGTGTTGGTGGTAGATAATGGCATGTATAGAATATGATAGTGGTGTTGGTGGTAGATAATGGCATGTATAGAATATGATAGTGGTGTTGGTGGTAGATAATGGCATGTATAGAATATGATAGTGGTGTTGGTGGTAGATAATGGCATGTATAGAATATGATAGTGGTGTTGGTGGTAGATAATGGCATGTATAGAATATGATAGTGGTGTTGGTGGTAGATAATGGCATGTATAGAATATGATAGTGGTGTTGGTGGTAGATAATGGCATGTATAGAATATGATAGTGGTGTTGGTGGTAGATAATGGCATGTATAGAATATGATAGTGGTGTTGGTGGTAGATAATGGCATGTATAGAATATGATAGTGGTGTTGGTGGTAGATAATGGCATGTATAGAATATGATAGTGGTGTTGGTGGTAGATAATGGCATGTATAGAATATGATAGTGGTGTTGGTGGTAGATAATGGCATGTATAGAATATGATAGTGGTGTTGGTGGTAGATAATGGCATGTATAGAATATGATAGTGGTGTTGGTGGTAGATAATGGCATGTATAGAATATGATAGTGGTGTTGGTGGTAGATAATGGCATGTATAGAATATGATAGTGGTGTTGGTGGTAGATAATGGCATGTATAGAATATGATAGTGGTGTTGGTGGTAGATAATGGCATGTATAGAATATGATAGTGGTGTTGGTGGTAGATAATGGCATGTATAGAATATGATAGTGGTGTTGGTGGTAGATAATGGCATGTATAGAATATGATAGTGGTGTTGGTGGTAGATAATGGCATGTATAGAATATGATAGTGGTGTTGGTGGTAGATAATGGCATGTATAGAATATGATAGTGGTGTTGGTGGTAGATAATGGCATGTATAGAATATGATAGTGGTGTTGGTGGTAGATAATGGCATGTATAGAATATGATAGTGGTGTTGGTGGTAGATAATGGCATGTATAGAATATGATAGTGGTGTTGGTGGTAGATAATGGCATGTATAGAATATGATAGTGGTGTTGGTGGTAGATAATGGCATGTATAGAATATGATAGTGGTGTTGGTGGTAGATAATGGCATGTATAGAATATGATAGTGGTGTTGGTGGTAGATAATGGCATGTATAGAATATGATAGTGGTGTTGGTGGTAGATAATGGCATGTATAGAATATGATAGTGGTGTTGGTGGTAGATAATGGCATGTATAGAATATGATAGTGGTGTTGGTGGTAGATAATGGCATGTATAGAATATGATAGTGGTGTTGGTGGTAGATAATGGCATGTATAGAATATGATAGTGGTGTTGGTGGTAGATAATGGCATGTATAGAATATGATAGTGGTGTTGGTGGTAGATAATGGCATGTATAGAATATGATAGTGGTGTTGGTGGTAGATAATGGCATGTATAGAATATGATAGTGGTGTTGGTGGTAGATAATGGCATGTATAGAATATGATAGTGGTGTTGGTGGTAGATAATGGCATGTATAGAATATGATAGTGGTGTTGGTGGTAGATAATGGCATGTATAGAATATGATAGTGGTGTTGGTGGTAGATAATGGCATGTATAGAATATGATAGTGGTGTTGGTGGTAGATAATGGCATGTATAGAATATGATAGTGGTGTTGGTGGTAGATAATGGCATGTATAGAATATGATAGTGGTGTTGGTGGTAGATAATGGCATGTATAGAATATGATAGTGGTGTTGGTGGTAGATAATGGCATGTATAGAATATGATAGTGGTGTTGGTGGTAGATAATGGCATGTATAGAATATGATAGTGGTGTTGGTGGTAGATAATGGCATGTATAGAATATGATAGTGGTGTTGGTGGTAGATAATGGCATGTATAGAATATGATAGTGGTGTTGGTGGTAGATAATGGCATGTATAGAATATGATAGTGGTGTTGGTGGTAGATAATGGCATGTATAGAATATGATAGTGGTGTTGGTGGTAGATAATGGCATGTATAGAATATGATAGTGGTGTTGGTGGTAGATAATGGCATGTATAGAATATGATAGTGGTGTTGGTGGTAGATAATGGCATGTATAGAATATGATAGTGGTGTTGGTGGTAGATAATGGCATGTATAGAATATGATAGTGGTGTTGGTGGTAGATAATGGCATGTATAGAATATGATAGTGGTGTTGGTGGTAGATAATGGCATGTATAGAATATGATAGTGGTGTTGGTGGTAGATAATGGCATGTATAGAATATGATAGTGGTGTTGGTGGTAGATAATGGCATGTATAGAATATGATAGTGGTGTTGGTGGTAGATAATGGCATGTATAGAATATGATAGTGGTGTTGGTGGTAGATAATGGCATGTATAGAATATGATAGTGGTGTTGGTGGTAGATAATGGCATGTATAGAATATGATAGTGGTGTTGGTGGTAGATAATGGCATGTATAGAATATGATAGTGGTGTTGGTGGTAGATAATGGCATGTATAGAATATGATAGTGGTGTTGGTGGTAGATAATGGCATGTATAGAATATGATAGTGGTGTTGGTGGTAGATAATGGCATGTATAGAATATGATAGTGGTGTTGGTGGTAGATAATGGCATGTATAGAATATGATAGTGGTGTTGGTGGTAGATAATGGCATGTATAGAATATGATAGTGGTGTTGGTGGTAGATAATGGCATGTATAGAATATGATAGTGGTGTTGGTGGTAGATAATGGCATGTATAGAATATGATAGTGGTGTTGGTGGTAGATAATGGCATGTATAGAATATGATAGTGGTGTTGGTGGTAGATAATGGCATGTATAGAATATGATAGTGGTGTTGGTGGTAGATAATGGCATGTATAGAATATGATAGTGGTGTTGGTGGTAGATAATGGCATGTATAGAATATGATAGTGGTGTTGGTGGTAGATAATGGCATGTATAGAATATGATAGTGGTGTTGGTGGTAGATAATGGCATGTATAGAATATGATAGTGGTGTTGGTGGTAGATAATGGCATGTATAGAATATGATAGTGGTGTTGGTGGTAGATAATGGCATGTATAGAATATGATAGTGGTGTTGGTGGTAGATAATGGCATGTATAGAATATGATAGTGGTGTTGGTGGTAGATAATGGCATGTATAGAATATGATAGTGGTGTTGGTGGTAGATAATGGCATGTATAGAATATGATAGTGGTGTTGGTGGTAGATAATGGCATGTATAGAATATGATAGTGGTGTTGGTGGTAGATAATGGCATGTATAGAATATGATAGTGGTGTTGGTGGTAGATAATGGCATGTATAGAATATGATAGTGGTGTTGGTGGTAGATAATGGCATGTATAGAATATGATAGTGGTGTTGGTGGTAGATAATGGCAGGTGTAGTGGGTTAGGTTTAGTGGAGTAGGTGAGGTGGTAGTGGTGGTAGGTTTATTAATAAATTTTAACACACTCATTTTTCTACAAATCTTGATAAGTTCCTAGTTAGTTATCTAAAAAATATGCAAACAATCATTGGCCCAGTCAATGTCACAGATAAGGTTACCCCAGAGAAGTTATTAAGCATGCTGCTTGATTTATTTTATTTTATTTTTAAAAGGAGAGGGAAGGGTCACGGCCATGGCATTTTTTGCACAAGTGGTTAGTGGCCCCTTCATAATGCCTATAGACCTCACAATAAATAAATTAAAAAATTGAAAGAGTCACCGCCATGCATGTTCTTTCAAAGTTTCAAGTTGTAAGACCTAATTATTCCCTCAAACTCCAAAACAACAATTTATAATGATTGAATATATATATCCTCAACTAAAATTGCAGATACAATGAAGAGTTCCAAAGAACATTAGAACATACCAATACACTGCCAGGTCCAAGATAATTATCATACTCTGCAATCATTTCTACAACATCAGGGCGCCACCCAAGCATTAGTATGCATTCTTTTGGTCCTAGATTCCAGTCTGATGCCTACTAACAAAAGTCAAACATAATAGACTGAAAACCAATCTTTCAAATAACAATGACATATATGTAATTCTATTCATTTAAATAAATAAACAACTGACAAACATGAAATTGTGTATTGGGGAAGTAATATACCTTTGATCCTGATTTTGTGGGCCGCTTCACTATATTTTCAAGCCTCATCCTTTTCATTTCTAAGGATTGTTTAGGAGATTCACTGTTCTTCTCTACAACTTCAACATTGATTGGTGTCTTATTTTCTTCTTTGACAACATTTTGATATTCAAGCCGAGGTTTTTTCTTCCCATGAACGGGTGCAATGAACAATACCTATATGAGTAAAAGGATAACATCAGAAGCAAAGAATGACAAATATAACTAACTAAAGAATTCAGCAAGGAGAAAATTTTCAAACAAATTCTTGGTAAGCAAACTTATTCTCCTTGCAAAATTTTAACCATCTATGGTGACTAAGCGAGCACGAGATCTTTGGACAACATGATGACATAATGATGCCTCCACTATTGAATGGCTAAATAAGTACAATAGGGTTTGGAAGCCTAGAGAAAAAGCTATGCGTTTAATGATTATTAAGAGACCTTTTAGGACAGAACAAAGTGTCCATTGTATTGTTTAGGGTATTTGTTTACATTTATTCTAAACTCATATGTTGGTGGTCCTTTTAATTTATGTCTTCTCTGCTTTAGTCATCTAAACTCATATGTACATACTGTTTAGGGCATTTATACAACCATTTATTTGCTATATACTTGATCATACATAATGAAAAATGACAAATAATTTTGATTTAGTTTTTCCATCACAACAGTCAAGAAGATTTTAACATTATTCATCAAATTGGGTCCAATCGTAATCCAAGCCCATGCTTATGGCCCATGAAATTGTAGATAACTAATATACTGAATTTAAGGCTTTGTAAGAGCATTTGGAAACAGTAAAAAACAAGCTTATGGCCGATGAAAATCAAAATGCAGAGCCCAAGCTTTGGCCCAAGGCCATAAGAGAGCGGAGCATGATTTGGTTGGACTGATCCAAGAGAAAAGAAGGGACAAGTCAAAATAAAGAAGCCAGCAGTGAGAAAAATGTCCAATTTGGTAATCAGCATTTAAGTGAGGTCTTAGAGTTGAATTGCAAAATGGATTGAAATAATGCTTGTCCAAGGGTAATTTGAAATTGGAATATTTGGCCCAAGAAATTCATGGGTGGATTCCTAGGGATTTCAAATCCCTATATCAGATCCATATGGTGTATTGGATTTTGGAATTTGGATTTGAAATCACTGCAATCCAAATCCAAATAACATTTTTTGTTTTTGCAAACCTATGCTATTCAATGTATTATTATTTTGTTCAATGCCAGATAAAAATATTAATTCATGAAAAATTCTCGTGTGGAACTGTTTAAAAAGATAATATTTTGACTACTTTTCAAGCTGTTCTTGTATGCACTTTTAGTATCACAATCTGTTCAATTGGATTAATAAATTGGATTTGCAAATTTGAAATGTATAATATCTCAAAAAAAAAACTACAATCTATTCTTTTATACTAAAGGATAAGCAATGTTAAAAAAATGATTATGTGTGCATACTTTGTCAAATTGCTGTAAAACTTCATCATCACTTGGGTGAAAATACATCTTCCCTCCCCGATAAAGACCACAAACAACTGACTGCAAGGATTTTAAAAATAGAAAACATATTAGGACCAGAACTGTTGATTACAGTGGATGACAGCAACAACAAAATTTTATAGACTGTTTTACCTCTTGGAATCCACGTCTTACTTGCCTATATGTTAATCCCGCTAGATTAGGAAAATTGAAGAGGTTAAATACATTCTCTGCGACATACAAACATGACTGTTAGTAAATTAAGTAGGATCTCACTCGCAATAAAACACTGGAAGATAAAAAAAAATAGAAATAAAAATAAAAATATTATACTATGACGATTGGAGCATAGGTAGTATTCAGACAACAAAATATCATCCAGGAACCAAATGGGGATGTAGTTAGTTCCAAGTCCAACACCTAAGAACCCAACCAAGCAACCCCTCTCATGTAATGTTATCCCCTAAAAGGAACATACACAGAGGTTTGCAAAGTGACATAATGAAAAACACCTGACAGAGTGACATTGAAAAATTACGAACACGGTTACATGGACATAATTAACTGCATGGACATTACGATGGTCAGAAATTGTTTCTACCATACAAAACAACAAAGCTTCACAGAATAAACTCATTGCACGACAACCCTTTGCAATCTAGGTGCCATAAATTAAACCCGACCCTTAATAAGTTTGACAGAACTTCAATAGAAAATCAAAGATGGCAGTTGAACATAATGTGACAAGACCTCATAGACACACTGTTGACAAATACCAACAACCCATAACATTGTTGGATATCATTGAAAGGTATCAATTTAAAAAGAAAAAAATTGATAACTTCATCTTCAGAGACCAAATCAAATAAATAAAAGCAGGTATTCTATTGATTGATTATAAGTTATTGATATTGTATAACTTCTATATTCATCAGACAAAGTTAAGGTAACAGAAAACAAAGAAATTATTTAGTATGATTGGTTTCAATTTTCTCAATTCAGTTTTTTAAAAATTGAGTTTTTTGTTTTTCGTGTTTTTTTGTTTTTAGTGAATATTTTTAAAATTTTAAGTATTTTTTTTTTACTTTTTTAAATGCACCTTACTTAGATGTATCTAAAAAGTAAAACATTTGTGAAAAAATACTTTAAAATTGTAATAAATACACAAAAAATACTAAAAATATACTGAATTTTTGTATTTTTGGTATTTAATGATTTTTTAAAAGATTTTTTTCATGAAAATTATACCTTTTAAGTGTATTTATGTTAGGTATATCTAAAAATTACAAAAAAATTGCTTAAAATATTAAAAAAATTCAGTAAAAATAAAAAATGCGAAAAATAAGAAAATAAAATTTTCTGAAAAGTGTTTCCAAAAAACTAGAAACAAACATGGCAATTATTTTTTGAGATTTTGTTTTTTTCCTTTTCAAAGTGAATTTCACATATAAAGAAGCACAATTTTCAATGAATCTGAAAGTGTCCATACTTCGATAATTAAGCAAATGTCTGTAAATCTTTATAAGGGCTTTTTGACGAGAGCATTGAACAAATAATTTGGACGAAACATTTTCCACAGGCTGTACTTTTAATCCTGAGATTGACTTTAAGAGCTCACATGTATTGGAATCTGAAACCTGCAGGAATTAAGAGGACAAACTCAACATAAATTTTGCATCCTGAACTCTATTACGTTATGTCAATCGAAAAGCCTCTCACAAGAACGCACCTCAACAATGGTGGGCACAGAAGCCATTTTTGGAAGAGGTTGAAGGGCAAGTACAGAAAGAAATGCATCCGTATCAACTTCATATCTGAAAAATTGATAATTTGAATTCAAAAGACTGCAACGAAGTATAATTTTAGAAAATTTAACTAACATAAATTGTGAATACATGAAATTTTGGAGATTGTAGTGTCCAAAACAGAACACACAAAATGAGCACAATGGGGCATGCAATCTTGTGTTAAGTGTTAGGGGTAGTTTGGTCTTTATGTATTATGCTTTTTAGTATAAATAGTTGTGTGCAAGGGGGAAACCCTATGCTTTTGAATTAAGGAATATACAACAGCTTTCTCTCTCTCTCGTTGTTGTTGTTGTTCTTCTTCTTCTTCTTATCATCTATACATTCAACATGGTATCAAAGCAATATCTTCCTCCTTGAAGATGATTCCTCTCATTCTTCTCTCTTTGTTCTTGTAGGTAGGTATGTCTATAGCAACAACAACAAAAAAATAAATAAATAAAAATAAAAAATTATCAATATGCTCGAAATTTCATGGGTATTCATCCTGTAATCTCCTTTTGATGTTTTGATCATTCTTGATTGCTTTTTCCAATTTTTTTGATTTTTCGTCAAAATCGGGTGATTTTTCGAAAGTTCCTGTTTGAACCCTTTTTGATTGGTTTTGTCCCTTCCTTTCACTTATGTGGGAGCCGACTGGCACCCTTAAAGGGTTTACTATCCTTGGTTTGAGGCATTTTGGTCCTACCTTGGCTTTTTTCTGCATTTTGGATGGTCTGCTTCAGTTTTTTGGGCTTGTAGGTGATCTGGTTGCTGTGTTCTGGGATAATCTTGCCCAGTTTTAGCCTTAAAAGGTGAGTTGTTGTGCTGATTCAGTGTTTTCTGGATTGGTTTGATATCCTGCTTGTGTTTCTACCCCATCTTTCTTTCATCTCATGGCTGCCAACGAGGGTAAGGGCAAGGAGGAAAGTGGACTGAGTTGTAGTATGACTCTTGGTGATGGTCCATCTCTCCAGATTAGTCCAGTCAAGCTTAATGGTACCAATTACTTGATTTGGTCCCGTTCCTGCAGTCTTGCCATTGCCGCCTAGCGGTTGACAAGCTATATTACTGGTAGTATCCGGCAACCTACTAAGGATAGTGCTTTATCTGCACAATGGATTTCTGAGAATGCTTTAGTTATAACCTAGATCATCAATTCTATGGAGCCTACCATTAGTCGTACTTTTCTCTTGATGGATACTGCTCACAAGATCTGGATAGTTGCCTCTCAGATGTATTCTCAACAGGGAAATGATGCATAGGCCTATGAATTGCGTAAGAAGATTAGGGACTTGGATTAGAAGGATCGCTCTCTGGCAGTCTACTATGCTGAGTTGAGTGGTTTATGGCAAGAGCTAGACTTCTACTAGAGTTTCCAGCTAGTTTGCTCCACGGATGCCACTATGTTTCAGCCTAGGAAGCACGGATACGGATACGATACGATACGGCGATACGACAAAATTTGAAAAATTAGGATACGAGTACGGCGGGGATACGTTCGTAAAAAATATTATTTTAACAATTTTTAGTAATGCAGTATGCATAAAAATAAAACTTAAAGCAAAAGACAACTTGATAAAGAAGAAAGATTCCTACAAAACTAAGAGTCTTCAAGGTCAATAGTTTCAACTTGTTCCTCTTCATCAGTGAATATCACAAGACCTTAGCTAAAGCCAAAGCCAAAAAACCATTCTTAAATAAAAATTTCAGCAAATATACTTTTTTAAGTCATCAATGATAGCCTAGGAAGCACGGATACGAATATGGTGATATGGGGATGTGGATATGGCGATATGTCAAAATTTGAAAAAGTATGATACGGGTACAGCGGGGATACATTCATAAATTTTTTTTTTTTATAATTTTAATAATGTAATATGCATGAAAATAAAACTTAAAGTAAATTAATAAATAAAGAGAGGGATTCCTATTAACCTAAAAGTGCTCAAACATTCATAAAACATCCAAAACTAAAAGCAAAAGCAAATGCAAATGCAAATTAAACATCATCCTTACATGCCAACACCAAAAAAAGAATGAGAGCAGAGAGAAGAAACGTGAGAGAGTGAGAAAGCGAGAGAGAAGTGAGAGAGACAACAAGGATACATCAATTTGACAAATTCTATTACTTTAACTCTCACTATATTCCTCTTCTGAAAGAACTAAACAAAATATTATAAGTAATATGTAATTTCGAGTATCCGATACTTCAAAATTAAGTATCCAATACTTCAAAATTAATAAAAAATTAATTAAGAAGTATCCGATACTTTTAAGAAGTATCCGATACGTATCCGCGAGTATCCGAGGAGTATCGGTATCCGATAAGTATCTGATACGGATACGTCACCCTTTTTGAAGTATCCGTGCTTCATAGGTTTCAGCAGGCTGTGGAGAAGGAGTGGGTGTATGACTTTCTTGTTTGCCTGAATTTGGAGTATGACCAGATACGGGTTCAGGTGTTGGGTCGCTCTCCATTTCCTACGTTGTGTGAGGCTTATGCAATGGTTCAACAGGAGGAGAGTCGTCGTAGTGCTATGGTGCATGCTCCTATTCCGAATCGGTCCGCGATGGTTATCGGCCCCAAGTCACGTGATACTCCGCCTTATCAGCCTCAAGGTGGTGGTAAGGGTCCATTGGTTGATCAAGACTGGTTGAAGTGTGAGTATTGTGGGAAAGATCGACATGATAAAGAACACTGTTGGAAGTTACATGGCCGACCTACTCGAGGCCGTGGTCGTGGTCGTGGTGTTCGTCCTTAAGCATATGTTTCTGAGACTACTGCTAGTGCCTCGGATGATGCTGGTTCTATTTCCCAAGATCAGCTTCACACTCTCAGACGTTTGATGGCTTGACTTGATTCTTCATCTGCCTTCGCTCCTTCCTCTTCTGCCTCTTCCAACTTTGCCCACACAGGTATTTCTGCTAGTGCACTTAGTGCCTCTTCGTCGTCTCCTTGGATCATTGATTTCGGTGCTATCAATCACATGACGGGTACTTCTAGTTTTTTCCATTCTTATTCACCTAGTTCTGGGCGAGATAAGGTTAAAGTGGCTGATGACACTTTATTTTCTATCTCCGGCAAGGGTTCTGTTCATTGCACCTCTTTACTTTCGCTTTCACCTGTTCTTCATGTTCCTAATTTTTTAACTAACTTACTTTCTATTAGTAGCCTTACTATTGCTCTCAATTGCTCTGTAACCTTTTTTCCGACTCGTTGTGTCTTTTAGGAACTGGCTACGGGAAAAATGATTGGCAGTGGTAGAGCGCAAAGTGGACTGTACTTTCTAGATGCCATTCATGTATCACCTTTGTCCTCTCAGGCTCTTCAATGCACTTCTGGCTCCTTCCTTCGTCTTCTTCATCAGTGGCATCGCCGTTTGGGGCATCCTTAATTTAGCATTTTAGAGAAACTTTTTCCTTTATTAGTTCGTGATTGTCCTAGGAATAACTTTGTTTGTGACGCTTGTGAGCTTGCTAAGCATAAACGTACTTGTTATCCTTCAATTAATAAAAAAAGTACTTTTCCTTTTATGCTTATTCATACCAATGTGTGGGGTCCTTCCCCGGTGGTTTCTATCTCTAGTTATCGGTGGTTTGTCACATTTATTAATTGTTATTCCCGTGTGACTTGGATTGATTTACTTCGTACTAAAAATGAGGTTTTATCGTGCTTCAAAAGTTTTCATAAAATGGTATCCAATCTCTTCAATGCTACTATCAAAATTTTTAGGAGTAATAATGTGACTGAATATGTTGATGGAGCTTTCAGGGCATGCCTCGCGGAGCATGGCATTCTTTATCAGACCAGTTGTGTTGGCACTCCTGAACAGAATGGCGTTGCTGAACGCAAGAATGACCACCTCCTTGAGGTTGCTCGCTCTCTCTTGTTTACCATGAACGTTCCTAAGTCTTTTTGGGGGGATGTTCTTACCACGGCTTACCTTATTAACCGTATGCCCCCTAGTGTCCTCTACTTCCAAATTCTTCTTGAGCTTCTTTCTGTGACTTATCCCACTTCTTCCCTTCCATCTCGGGTCTTTGGTAGTATCTGTTTTGTTCATCTTCAACCTCGTACTCGTGGGAAGCTTGATCCTAAGACTGTCTGGTGTGTCTTTTTTGGTTATTCTGCTACTCAGAAGGGCTACAAATGCTATGACCCTCACACTCATAAGCTGTATGTTAGTATGAATGTCACATTCCGTGAATCTGAGTCCTTTTTTTTTGGTCCTCCTCTATCTTCTCAGGGGAAGAATGGTATTGATGAGATTGCGGATGAGACGACATCATATCAACATGAGTTGTCTTTTTCCCTTCCTAATCAGCGGGCTGTTATTTGTGGTGAGGGGGAGCCTAGCAGTTCTGTTGATGAGTAGTTGGATATCGGTGGTCATTTGGACAAAGCTGATCTTAAGACTTATTCACGGCGTTAGAAAAAACAGGCTTCTCTTGTGCCACCAAGTCAATCATCATCTCCGATACTAGTTCCACACTAAGTTTCCACTGACTCTACAGGTAATGATCCTCAAACCATTTCTTCACCTGTTGTTAATGGTCCTATTACTGATGATTTGAGTCTTCCTATTGCTCTCAAAAAAGGGGTTAGAGCTTGTACTCAACACCCTATTTCTAAATTCATGTCATATGATTCGTTGTCTCTCTATATCGTGCTTTTGTTGTCTCTTTCTTTTATATGTATTCCACAGGGTTGGAAAGAAGCCATCAATAATCCTAAGTGAAAGGTAGCTGTGGTAGAAGAGATGCAAGTTTTGAGTAAAAATAACACATGGGAGTTGGTGTCTTTTCCTAATGGGAAAAAACTAGTCGGATGTAAGTGGGTGTTCACCATTAAGCACAATGCAGATGGGACGATTGAACGGTACAAAGCAGGACTAGTGGCCAAGGGATTTACCTAGACATATGGAATCGATTAGCAAGAAACTTTTGTCCCGGTAGCAAAGATGAATTCCATTTAAGCTATTTTGTCGTGTGCTGCTAATTTGGGATGGCCTCTACAACAACTAGATGTGAAGAATGCTTTTCTTCATGGGGATTTGAAGGAGGAGGTATATATGGATGTACCTCCAGGATTCTCATCTCAGTCTACAGTTGGAAAGGTTTGTAGATTGAAGAAGGCTTTGTACGGTTTGAAACAATCTCCTAGAGCCTGATTTGGTAGATTCCTAAAGGCAATGCTAGGATTTAGGTATCAGCAAAGCAATGTGAATCACACATTGTTTGTCAAACGCAATGTACATAGGGTAACAGTGCTTATTGTATATGTGGATGACATAGTTGTGACAGGTTATGATGAGAGAATGTGACCCATCTCAAGATGCAATTAGCCAAGGAGTTTGAGATGAAAGATCTTGGTCCATTGAGATACTTTCTTGGGATTGAAGTTTCCAGATATGATAAAGGCATCTTCATTTCTCAAAGGAAGTATATTCTAGATCTTGTTGAGGAAACGGGCATGTTAGGCTGCAGACCAGCTGATTCACCGATTGAGACTAATCATCGTCTTTGTAGTGGGATTGGTGAGCTTGTGGACAAGGAAAAATACCAAAGAATTGTGGGAAGACTGATATATCTCTCTCATACTCGTCCAGATATTGCCTATACAGTTGGGATAGTGAGTCAATTTATGCATGATCCTCGTGCAACTCATTTGGATGCAGTCTATTGCATTTTAAGGTACCTTAAATCTGCCATTGGAAAACGAATTTTGTTCTCTAATCATGGTCACTTGAAGTTGGAAGCATTCACAGATGCAGATTGGGCAGGCTCTATAGATGACCAACGCTCCACCTCCGGTTATTGTGCTTTTGTAGGGGAAATCTAGTCACATGACACAGTAAGAAGCAGGCGGTTGTTTCCAGATCTAATGCTGAAGCTGAATACAAGGTTATGGAACATGTGAACTAATGTGGCTTCAATCTTTATTGAGTGATATAGGGCTTGATTGGAGTGATCCCATGACTTTGTATTGTGACAACAAGGCTGCTATTAGTATTGCACACAATCCTGTTCAACATGACCGAACTAAGCATATTGAGATTGACAGACATTTCATTAAGGAGAAGTTGAATAAGGGCGTGATATGTATGCCTTTTGTTAAGTCTGAAGATCAACCGGTGGATGTTTTTACTAAGGATCTTAGTAGTAAAGTCTTTCACCCTATTTGTTGCAAGTTGAGCATGAGAGACATCTTTGCACCAACTTGATAGGGATTGTTAAATGTTAGGGGTAGTTTGGACTTTATGTATTATGCTTATTAATATAAATAATTGTGAGTAAGGGGGAAACCCTATGCTTTTGAATTAAAGAATATACAGCAGCTTTCTCTCCCTCATTGTTGTTCTTCTTCTTCTCCTCATTATCTATACATTCAACAGCTACCCTCCATCTTATACCGAAAACATGTATTGTAACTTATACAGGTAAACCTGCAGACATAGATGACTAACCCTATGGGTAAGGAAAAGATAAATTCATGTGGCCAGAGAGGGTTTGAATTCAGGCAGTGGAACAAGCAATAGCACTGGTAAAGCCAGAATGGCTGAAAAGGACAAAGAGATGAGATAATTAAATAAAAACTTGAAGACTCACCACAACAAAAGATATGGTTCTGGAGAATTTGGTCAGACTGAAAAAATAAAATAAAATAAAAAAAGAGGAAAGGAAGAATGATATGGTTCTGGAGAATCTGGACAGACCGAAATAGTTGCATGAAAATTTACCAGCCATGCAGGACACTAACAATCAAATAATGAGAATGTTGTATCTTAAAGAGTAGATAATAAGTGAATCAACAATGTCCACACTAAATAATATCCAAAGCCAAATTATATTCAATATATGGAATTTCTTTGGTTATTGCCCGTAATGTGCCCTGCAAGTTCTTCCAAGTATCTTAATTGAACATTCTAGCCATAGAAATATGTTCTATCCATCCAATAATGCACTACCATCACTGAGTAAAATTCCAGGCTATATGCCATTAGAAAATTATTCTTCATTGTTCTTTATTTTTTGTTCTCTTCTTTGGCAAATGGTAGAAATCAAGTCCCCCCAACATGCATAACCTCTTCAATGACCTCCCTTTTAATGATGATGCCAGCACTTAACCTCTGTGTAATAGCTTGGGAAAATTATAGTTATTTAATAAGAGGTTTCTCAAGCTGACACCACAAAGTAGATTGGCATTCTCCTAAAATAAAATTATAGGTCCAGTAAAAATAATATGGCTTAAAAAAGAAAGCAACTTCAATATTATTCTGGGCTAGTTTAGAAGATATCCATGGACTGAAGCCAAAAATTATCAACCAAGATAGAGCCAGAAAAGGAAGGTGAAAAACAAGATATATATATATATATATATAGAGAGAGAGAGAGAGAGAGAGAGAGAACAACATAAAATAAAAGGAAAAAAAAACAGTAATAATATTTATTATTACAAAAATATGTTTTTCATATCAACATTCTTACCGATCCTCCTTAGTTGGCAATATAATTATAGCACGTGCCTTATTAGCTGCAGCCCTTTCAAATGATTTTGTTAAGCTCAGACTGCAACTGTACAAAGAAAAGCTAAAACATGTAAGAACTGAAGCAAGCCTGAACAATTCTATCTAATCCAGTAAAAGTTACACTTCCATGCTTTGAAATCTAAAAACTTCAAATTAGTCAAAGAGTGAATGTCTCTCAGGTGGTTTTCGTTGGAACTCTATTAACAAATAATAAATAAGAAATCAAGTTTCACAAGCAATAAAAACAAAACCAATCTTACTAATGGTGGTTTCTAGACAATGAGAGAGAAAATATGGGAATTTGGGATAAGATTGTGAGCTGTTAACACTTTTATATGGAGGGAGAAACCCATCTTTAATTTAAACCTCCATTGTGCTTCACTTTAAATTTCCAAATTGTATGTTAAAACCTTGGCCTAATAACCATGAGATTATGGGTTCAAGTTACGGGGCAACCACTTTGTGCACTATGCTAAAGGTTAAGTGTGTACCCAATATTTTCCCTCCCAAACACACATTAATGTGTACTAATTGGGCATTGTTTTTTATGTTTGTTTTTACAACAATACTATTTGTTATGATGAAAGAAAGGTAAACGTTGATGTCTAAAGTATTAGCTAACTTGTTGTAAAGTACCCTAGAAGTGTCAGATAAGTTCCAAATCCAAAATACAGAATGCACTTTTATATTACAGACATGTCCCAGATGAGCTGGATGCATGTCCATGCATCTCAAACAATTGGCATTGTTTTGACACCCAGACAGATACTCTGTAGTAGTAGCAGCACATATGCTACAGTAGCCACATCCAACCAAGAAGAGTAAACCACTAACAGAGAAGGCATTTCTATCATGGTCCAAGAAACATAAAATTGTCTCCCCTGCAAGCCACCATTCTGACTGAAAGAAAGCTATTGCAAAATACGAACCCCACAGTACCCCAGTCAACAAAACATACACATACCTCTTTGTAATGAGGTCAATATAATTAAGATCTTTGCCAATATTGTCAGCTATTTTGTCCATTTGCTTCCTTGGAAGATCAGACAAAAGAAGAATTATTTGCTTCCTGCAAACATATACATGCAAGGAATTATTGAAAACAGTATCTCAAACTAAACTTAAGTAGTATCCATAGTACAGCAAAAGAAACAATTACCTAGCTGTAGCAGTACCTAAGCGAACGGCAAACTCATGATACTCATTTAACTGCTTTAGTATAAAGGCCAGACGACTATTTAATCCACAAATAATGATATGATCAGTCTCCAGAACTTGCATTTGTGCTCCTTCTCTGAGTTTTTGCATATTATTCTGTCCAAAAGGTAGTCAGGAGGATGCTGTTGAGATGTGAGGGAACTATAGCACATGAAATCACTCCGAAGAGCTTACCCTGAACTGTTCTGTCATTGTGCTCAACAGACGGGAGTAGAATAGTATGCCCCATATAGCAAGAGAAAAGCCAAGAACACGTTCAACCCGTGTCCGTTGCTGCAGCTCAATACCAAAGTATTTCGTAGCCATATTAGTTACTACCCACATTCCTTTTAGCAATGTGAAAATAGTGATATCTCAACCATATGAACAATATTGAATTTAAAAAATAGTATTGTACTCTTAAATGAGTAGATGATGAACACAGGCATGCCCAAGCGTCCCAGAAGCAGTCTTCCAGACTTTGCTCACTACCCCTGTGTTATTCCACAATGGATGTAGCTGAATTAGCAAACATAAGAATTACATGTAGCAAGAGTCAATTAATACAAATACAAGCACCAGCATATTGACTATTGCAAATAAATATTTAATTAATAAAAACAGTGGGAAAAAATAATATCAACCCAATTTTCCATGCAGCAGAGAAGAGTGTTCTGACAATGGTTCAACTTTGTGATACTCCCTTAATTTAAATTTTGTGATACTCCCTTAATTTAAATTCAAAGTAATCAAACTCTAGTTAAATGGTCCCTTCAAATTTGTCATTTAATTACTTGTCAGGGGCCAATTACCAGAGAAAACATCAATTAATGGAAATAATTTCTTTCCACATTAAAGAAAACTTTTTTTATACTCCTTTAAGATATAAAACTATATAGAACACAGACGGAAAAAAAAAATTGAAAGATCTCTGTGATGTCTATCCAAGAAGACATGCATAAATAAAGGACTAATCATTTCTAGCAACATCAAGAACACCAACTACTTAAACGAGCTAAGTTGCTCTGTGATGATCTCAGGAACAGAAGAAAATGTTTGAGTAAACAAGACAACTAACTAGAAATTCACCACTCAAAAACAATGTACAAAAAATCCTTTTGTCTTTGTTTCGTTTTTGTTTTGTTTTGTTTTGTTTTGTTTTGTTTTTGTCTTTTTGTTTTTTTTTCCCCCATGAAATTAACATCAAAATTAAACTTACAATTGTGTAATACAAATCAAAGACTTTATTTCTCTTACAAATTTCATAAATTCCAAAGAAGAGAACAGTAGCATCAAATTATTTTCAAAATGTCAAGATAGAGGGTCACCTGAACTTGTAGAAGAGGAAACCACCAATGATAACAAAGAATAAGCATGCTGCAAGGAGCACAACAAAGAACCTACAAGACATCCAGAGCAAAAACTTCAGCCTATTAAGCAGGACATAAAAGACTGAAATTCAATGTTAGTACACAGTCAATAGGGTGGACACATCATATTAGTTCCTTCGAAGCATTTATGAAACAGCAGATGGACAGCATTGATATATTCTAACTAGTGAAAAGCTTGCCGAAAGTGATCTAATAGTTTCTTTTGGCTGGAATGTGAAGGAAAGTCCCACGTCGCCTGAGTACAAAAGTAATGCACAGTATGGTATAATTCAGCTTACCTTCAATGAGGTTCACCCATGTATTATATAATGTAGAAAAGATTACAATTTAGGAAATAAAACTAATTACATTGAATAAGGCATAAAATCCGTGATTGCCTAATCAGCAGATATTGTAAGAATTGATGTATTATTGATTGATATGTTGATGTATTACAAGATTGATTAATTACAATTCCTATACAATCTATATATAGAAGAAAACTAAATTAGCTATTCCAACAGTGAATGAACACAAAACACTGCAAACAAAAGCAACTTTCAGAGCATATAGAATAGGATGATGAATTTCCTAGAAAAATATTAACACAGTGAACTTATGACTAATCTTACTTTCTATAGGAAGATAAAATAGCAGATAATTCATGTTTTGACCACAGCATAGGTCCAGATACATAATACCACCTAACTAAACGCCATCATGGTATCTTATCAATACAAAGGAAAAACAATCAAACAAGAGCATAAATAGTGTCACTTACGTGGAAACATTCCTCTCAAGTTGGATATTGAATAGATAAAGTAACCTTGCAAAGCTCCATTTAATATCTTGCAGTGAGGGCAAAGACACATCCAAACGAAGAGGCGTAGGTTTATTCAAGGAACTAGACATACAAGCAAATGGCAAACTTGTACCCACAAATGAGAAAAGTGTATCTCGGGCCACGTTTATCAATGTATTCATTATGTTTACATGCACCATTTTGAGGAGGAAATAAGATGACAGGGATGCTATCAGAAGTTTAGCACAAACATCCTGCACATGCCATATTAAAAATCAAACATGAATTAACAATAATTACTATTTACTAAAACCAGCAACACAACATAAATCAATCTATTAGCTAACACTTCGGGGTATGCTCTCTTGGTACTAAAGGAAGATTATAGATCAGTTTTTCTAAATGCATGAACTATATGCAAGTCTTGGAAAAATTAATTAGAGATGGGTAGTAGTCTTGTATATCAAATTTGATCGAGTAGAAGAAGAGTTTGAACAGTAGACAGTCCCAAGCACCATTATAAAATACAGACAAACTGCAGTTCTTCATGAAAGCATCTTAAAAAATTTCATAAATAAATAGGTATGAATTGATGGTTAAATAAATGCATGGCTCCAAATAATAATGAGAAGGAAAATATAGAGACTAAAGAATCCAAAGTTCTTATCAAAACAAAGGTCTGGTTCCTATAATACATTAATCAAGCATAACAAAGATTTGCATCATCTTGTCTCCACTATTCCATTAACACAATGACAATTTTAAGGGGCCGTTTCTCGGTAAAGTAAAAGCTAGGATTACAATTATGAGGGTGCAAAATTCAAATTTGGGTGCAGCCACTTCATGCACCAGAGATTGCAGGAACAAGCACTAGGAAATGGCTTTCACCAACTTCACTAACTGATTTGATTTACAGAATATGGATGACTTTGCAACTGGAAAGATTACCACAATTTCTGCCATAAATAAACTAAATAGTTCCCTACAAGTTGTTTTAGGCATCACAGTGATACTCAACACTGAAAACCATACAAATAACAAATATCTTTTTTGAAATTCTAAAGCATTCAGACAGCACATCCACTTTGTAATTTTATTTTATTTTCCCCAGCTGCCTCCCATTTAATTCTCACCTGTGTACTATTTTTTAGCTTGTCTGAAACATTGAAATTCGTAAGGGAATCCAACTCATAACATGTCCTTCGAAAATTAGCATCACATTTCCCTGGCAAAGGATTATGACAGTTAATCACAAAAACCAGCAAAAGAATAAATGGAACATCCACTAATCAATGCCAAACAAATGAGAATAAGAGTAATGAGATCAAAGCCATATATGTAAACCAATTAAAGTCAATATTCTGCAAACCAATTAAAGACAATATTCTGCATAAGTGTTGCTGTATTGGAGACCAATAAACTGCAAAGGTAATATCACATTTACCAAACATTTTTTCTTTTTAACATTTTGGGGACACTTTTTTTTTTTTTTTTTGGTTCTTCCTTTCACGCAGTAGGATTAGTAAATTAGGTTAGCACAACTGGGCTCCATAAGTTTGAACCTCAAACCTCCCTCTAGAAACTTAGAGCTACAACCACTTGACCTACACTCAAGTTCAACATTTTGGTTACTTCACCAACCTTATTTCTGATACCCACTTTCCAAACAGATTTTTTTTTTTAAATTATTTTTTTGGTTGGTTAATTCATTAAGGATTGTTAACCAAGAGTTTGTCAAATTTAAAAGAAGATTGCTAACTCATGTAGGACCTAACAAGAAATCAACATGCCAAAGGTGTAGAATGTAGACAGAGGGAAGAGAATATCCAAGCAGGATGATGACAACCATGTACATGGCCATCAATGTTGATAAGTGTTAGTTACTTGTAAAGTACTAGATTGCATGAAACCTTAGTAGCACATAAACTGTCACATGAGGGTCAACTGTGAAAATAAGGAATAGAAAATCACAGGGCCAATTGCTATAAAAGGAAGGTGTTGCGATAGAACAAGAGCTAATTTAGCAATACGGCGAAAAATGATATCCACATTCCTACCATTAAATTAAATACAAAGAAGAAACGAAAACAAAAGAAAAGCATGCCTATTCAAAACACCAACAGTGCCAGTTATGTCACCAAAAAATTAAGAAGCACAGGAGAAATGGACAAATTAAATGACAATAAGCACAGCACAATGCAAGCTGTGTAAGGCCATTAGTGAAGATAAGATTACTAATTTATCAGTAAGTGAAATCACAAGGCATAGAAGTAGAATAACAGGAACAAGAATCATCTTAGCAATAGGACAAAAAGAGTTGTCATATCTTATTTCATGCACCGAAGTAGGCATAAGCTGCCAGGTGACAGCGAATCTTAGTAAAACATTTTTTTCCCTATTTGAAGGAGGATGGTGGTACTAAGAAACATGCAGAGAATGTTGTGTAACATTCAACAAATCAGCCTAAACATCATCCACCAAACCCTGGGTGAGGCAACATACAGAACAAGCCCAGCGGGATGGATAAACCATGGTTTGTGATAAAAAAAATCTAATTCCCTTGGCAGCATGCAGATCCAAGCTTCTTAGGATAGTTCCAAACTTCTGCAAATATGGATGGCTACAACGGATATTGATAATTAGAGTAAATTTCTTGCTTTTGTCAAAGGAGTGCTAAGTCCCTAATGGTCAAGGTCACAAGAAGGACATTGACACCAGAAACACGATGAGAATAAAGAAAACCAAATGGAGAGGTGCAACAGTGAATGATCGCCAAGTGCGAGAGTAAATGTACGTACCTTCACTGCTTATGAATAAATTACTCACACGTGAAACAAAAGATTTCATCCACCAACATGGACAGGGCATCGATTGTCTGAAAAGTATCATGTAGTCAGAAAGTTCCAGCTCTCAAGTGAAATTCAGGTTAAATTTATAACAAATACAACTCTTAACAAGATTGTTCCCAAGCATGTGAGACGTGAACATCGATGACATAATCTTGAAATGCAAGTTCCATGCTGCGTTCATTCTATTTCAACCTACCACTTGCTTATGATATACACTCAAGAAGTCATCAATTTATAAGGTCGTAGGTTGATACTTGCAAAAATCGAAGGAAAAAAGAAAACAAGAACACAACTAAGACCTAGTTTGGAAATTGAATGTTTCACAAGATAAATTTTTTGTTAGAGAGTACATAATTTGCTGAAATGCAGTCAAAATGTGGAAACTCCTCAACTTCATCATAGCCTGAAATATGATTGTCATCTTCATCTATTGCCCTTACAGTGGTGTTCTGCGCTTATGCTTTCTGATTTTTTTTTTTTTTCCAGCAGGTACAGCAACAACACTTAAATATGCAAATTTCTAAGAAACAATAACTTGTGTCATCAATTTATAAGGTCGTAGGTTGATACTTGCAAAAATCAAAGGAAAAAAGAAAACAAGAACACAACTAAGACCTAGTTTGGAAATTGAATGTTTCACAAGATAAATTTTTTGTTAGAGTGTACATAATTTGCTGAAATGCAGTCAAAATGTGGAAGCTCCTCAACTTCATCATAGTCTGAACTATGATTGTCATCTTCATCTATTGCCCTTACAGTGGTGTTCTGCGCTTATGCTTTCTGATTTTTTTTTTTTTTCCAGCAGGTACAGCAACAACACTTAAATATGCAAATTTCTAAGAAACAATAACTTGTTCTTCCAAAAGCAGTGATGTTAGCTATAATTGAAATTTCACCTACAAAATAAGGCCTTGAACAATGAGTTTACAGAGGCTTTGAGTAGTGCGGAATAGGCTAATCACCAGACTGTTCTAGAATGTTCAGTACCAAACACAGACTTCTGCCTTTTTTGCTCTTAAAAGAACACCATGTACACTTGAGTGACAACCAAAGGGTGCCTAAAACTCATACGTGATGACGATTAAGAAAGAGAGCAGATCTTCCAATAAATAGTTTCCTAATCTCTCATAACTCAGTAAGATTTTTCTTCCAGTTAGAAACAAAACATCAAACACTCTCAACGCACACGCAAAGAACACTAACTATGCACACAATGTGAAAGAATTTCCTAGTCAATTGTGTGTGTGTGTGTGTGTGTGTTGCATATATAATATGTTAAATTGAAGAGATTGAAAGACACAGAGAAACGAAGAAGAAAGTTCATTACTTGAAGAATCAAATAGAACATAGAGAAATCAACAAGCACAACGAGTAAAGTAAGTAGTAAACCTCCTCGGAGGACGAGAAATATGGTGGAGTGTCGGAATTCGAGGCAAAATCCATGGTCGCGAAACATGCAACGAAAGCATCCTCTTCTTCGCCTCTGATTCTCTCTCTAGTTGCTTAAATGGTTAAAGAGAGAGAGTGACAGAGAGAGGTTCAGACTTGAGAGAACAAGACTAGAAGAATGGGATGGATATAGAGATGGCAAACAAGTGTTTTTGTTTTATATATATTATCTGTCTGTATTTGGAGAAGGTGAGAAGAGAGAGAGAGACTGGGTGTGTTGCGTAAAAATCAGCACAGCCTGTTTATTCTGTTGTTTATAGCCCTTAGGAGAAATAGTTTGATAATTACATGTTTTAATTAAAAATTTTAAAATTTATTATAAATTTTCATATTATTTATTTTTATTTTTTTATAAAAGTGAAAAAATTATTAAAATAATTTATTCATAAACTCAACTTTATTGATTGTTTCTAAAACATTGTTGAACATGATTTATTGAGGATATGTGTCTTATTATCTCCTAAAATGAGATTAAAGAAGGGATATTTTGGTCAAAAGTTTAAAATTAATATTTTTTTGTTCAAAAGTTTAGGCACTAAAATATTATGGGAAATTTTATTTTCACACACTTAATTATCTTAATACATATATTTAATAAAATATTATTTTAATAGCAATTATACCCTAAATTAAAATGATCATAATGGACATCCACTAGCATTCATAATATTATATGAAAATATTTTTTTGTACACATCTTTTAAAAATAAAAAAAATCTGAATGTACACTTTTTGAGTGAAAAAAAAACTAAACCCTAATTTTTCCATTATTGTCACTTTGTTTACTACACACTCTGTATTTCTTTATTGCTTGCAAAACAATACTCTCATAACAACTCTTATATTGCTTCAATCTCTAGATTTATATTCTATTAGTGACGAAAATGTTAGTTTTTTCGTGTAGAATTTTTTTTTTTTCTTTCCTTTCACAGTTTTCAGTCGGACAAGTAACGCCGAATTATTTTATTATATTCGGATATCAATTGCCGAATTATTTCATTATATTCGGATATCAACTGCCGAATTATTTCATTATATTTGGATATCAACTGCATAAAGTTTTTATTTTTATTTTTTATGGAAACAAATTTATCGAACTAATCACTTTTATTCGGAAGTTAAGTTTCGAATTAAATGTATAATTTCAAAAAACCAGTGCCGAAATCCCAAACTACAAAACATTATAAAAAAAAATGAGGGTTTTATGGCAATGGAGTGCACAGAGATTTGAGAATGATAAATGCAATAACAAAATGAAAAGATACCTCATCTTCAACAATATTTTGAAGGGTTTTCAATAGTGTTTTTAATGGAGGTTCAATAGGGTCTTTAATTGTCACAACCCAACCCCCGCCTCAAGGGATTAAAGAAGTGACTGGCTAGTAATTCGGGATTACCAAAGGCCTGCTTAATAGTAATACAATAATCGGGACTGACGAAAGCCTATAAATAATAAAATATAACATCCAATGAGCTGTAAAGGCTTAAAGGAGCAAAACATGCCCTTATATGTATACATATTGAGAGGGTGATTTATGATCTGGAGTTGGGCCGAGATATCGACCGATCAGGTTGAGAGCCCAGCAGTGCATTGGGCTGAGATGATCCATTGTTCGCCCAGAGAAGGGCTGCCAAAACTTGGGCCGGGCAGAGTTTGGACCGAGTGTGTGCCACCCCGGACCGTACAGAAATTGCTCGGCCAGGAAGTGACCGGTCAGACCAGGATGCTCGGTCCGAGGATGGTCGAAGCCAGACAGGCTGAGAGACCGGCGCCTGGAAAGGCGCGGTCAGCCGAGGTAGTTGATTGACCGGCAGGAAGGCCAACCAAAGGAGGTGCCCGGGCTATTTGCCGAGATGCCGCCTAGCCCGGTCATCCACGTGTTTGTCCGGCTAGGCGCATGAGTATGAAGCTTGACATGGCCGAGGAAGAGCAGCTCGGCTGCCGAGCTCCAGCTGCGAAGTCAGGCAGTTGAGGTTAGGTGGTGAATGGCATGGTTGATGCTGACAGATGGGATAGCAAAGCCACGTGTCAGGAGACGACTGGGAGTGGATATGGGGGTCAGAAGGTATATAAGCATGTCTGCGCCCCCCATACGCAACACACGAACATCTCTGTAAGAAATCCTTACACTAAAACACTCTCTCCCTTATCTCTATTCCCTCTAAGGTGTGTGCTAACTTGACCGTCGGAGGGTTCTTCCGGCCACACACCGCCGGGTAGCTCACCGTTATTTGCTCGCAGGTGATCGGATATCGACGGAGCTCGGAAGAAAGGAATACGGGCACGCCGGAATATTTGCTCCCCGTACACATATACACATAAGTCCAAACATTAAACTTATATACACATAAGTCCACGTTAAGTTTAAGTACAAAAACAAACATAAACATAACTTAGGAATTAAATCTGAATAACAAAACCAGTCTTAATAAAAGCCTTAGCAACATTCATAACACTTGTTCACAAATACAAAAGGGTAAATTCTAAACCACCCATGTAAAGCTTAACCCAGTCAGAACCTCGAAGTGAGGCATAAAAGCTAGCTTGACAAAAAGCAGAGTTCAAGTCGACGCCACTAAGTTCGGTCTTGCACTTGATCACCTACATACATATACAAAACAGTGAGCTAGACCCCAGTGAATAACAACGGTGTAAAGGGGTAATGAATGATGTCCTTTTAGTAATTTCATATAGTCAATTTCATCAATGAATTAATATCTCGTAACATATCAAATCATACTGAAATCATAACAGTCATACGTGGTACATCAAATAGCAAAACAATACAATAGGTGACCATCAATACAATAAACAATAGTTCCAAAGATTGGAACTAACAAAGATCTCTGTAACAGTAAGAGTAACAGTAACAAATGCTATGGATGCCACAAATACATTTCATAAATAGGGCAATCTATAGCAATTTCGATTTTGACTCGACCCATTTGATTTTCCTCTTTATTCTTGCTTGAATTTGGCTATTGAGTTGGTTAGAGTATGTTTGGAACTGGTTGGTTACTTAGTTTTCAAACTTTTGTTGCCCAGATTTTTGCTCTTCCACTCAAGCGGGCTTTGCAAACTCTCAGTACATTTGTAGGTCCATAACAATACTAGGAGAGTGTATTCTATGCTCGCGCGATCCTTTCTGCGCTCGAGCGATCACTTCTTGCACTCAAGCAATGGTTTGTCCTCTGCAAAACTATTGAAAGTGTGTATTTTGCGCTCAAGCGGTCACTTCTTGCGCTTAAGCGGAATAACTTATTGTGTCTGACGCTCGAGCGTCACTTATTATGCTCAAGTAAACTGTGCGTATATCAGTTCGTAAAAAGGTCATTTTACATCATTTTTTCGTAACTTTCTCTCTCAAAACCCTAAATCTAGAGCTCCTCTATCTAAAACTCACTCTCTCTACTTTTTATCTAGATCTAGTGATTTCTCCACCATTATGCCTTTGTTAAAAAGGTAGAGCATCTCAAGAGCTCCGTTTTGATCCGAATAGATCTGGTTTCGGCATCTTCGAAGATCCTCCATCTCTTCCTTTGGTCTTCTAACTTGAGGTAGGGATTTTTCTACACTCTCATATGGTTTTTAACTTGGGTATTCGTTGGTGTGTAACAAACATTGGAACTTGAGGTGATTTTGAACAAACCTAGGATTTTAGTTTGAAATCAAAAGAGGGGTTTTCAAATGTATGTGTTAAAAATGGTTATAAGAGCAAATGTGAAGTTGTGTTGTCGTAAAGTTGTTGATTTTGATATTCGGGGTGGAATTTGAAAAAAAAAAGAGGAAGTTTTGCCCTAAAATGGTCCAAATTGTTATTTCATATAAACTAATGAAATTGGTATAGGGAATATGAAATTCGATGAGGGTTTATGTTAATGGTGGAGTTGGATTTGCATTATCACCCACCTATGGTAATTTGGATAATTTTATCTGTTGAAGAGATTGTATATCTGCTTAGAAATATCTGTTTTGGGCTATCGGTGAAGGATAGCTATGATTATTATAGAAAGTGCATGAGGATTAGGTGAATTGAAACTAATCTCTTATCGGTTGTCATTGAACATGACTGTGTGCTTTAATATATTGTATATGTATGATGTTTGGATGGAGAAAAGGGATGTACTCCATTGTTTAGAAGGAGAAAGAGAATGGACTCTATAGAATTAAGTTGGCCTGTGTGTCTAGGGTGAAAGTCCCGAAAGCTTTGTGTATACATGGGTGCCGATTTCCACGGACGAAATTTTCATAAAATGGCAAATGGAAGTGTCTATGTGATGACTATATCGTTTTGAGAACCTTTGAGTTGTATTCTCAGTTTGATTGTTTGTGATAAATGGAAATAACTCATGAATTGAGATAAATGAATAGAGATAAAAAAGGGGATTAAGATAGTATAAATTGTGATACAAAACTTGGCATGGCATGGTTTGTTAAAGAGTTGTAAATGATTTTGTCACCGGCATTGTATATGCACATCATATTTATATCTTTGTTAAAATTCATATATTGTGTTAGATTGTTTCTACTGGGCTTTGACTTACCCTATTTGGGAAAAACATTTTCAGGTGTTGGTGATATGCCTCCACCAAGGACTTAGCTTGGAAAGAATGTGGAGCTGAAGGCTCAATCTTTTTATTTAGTACTTAACTTTTGTACAGCCAAAGGGCTTTAAATGTATTGGATTGAAAGTCCACTTTTGTTGTAATCAAGAACTATCTTGGAAAGATATAAGCCTTTAGGGCATTTATTCTTTGTGTTGCTTCTGGTTTTATCTCATGCTGTGGTATATGCTGTAGATTCAGGGACAGGCTCATGAATGTATAATTGCATATGTCACTCCCTTGTATAATTGGATCTCATGTAATAGAAGGACTTTATACTCTGATTCTTACTGTCATTCACATATTGTCTTGGTTGGTTTATTGTATTATTTTAGGGGTGTTGCACAATCATTCATTTAGTTAAAAAGCACCATTTCAGAAATAGAACATTCTATAATTCAGAAAATACTTATATTGTGAACATAGCTTTATAAGGTTGTTACTCACAGTTGGCTCCCTGAATCATGTGATTGAAATGCGGCATCTAACCTACAAAAACACATTCAAGCACAATGTCTCAAGACACATTTGATTCATTCAGTCGGTTCTTAAACCTTCGATTCATGACCTATGCAAGAAAT